ATGGTTCAAGGCGCCATCTGTTTAGAAGCCTTTTTCTCTAAAAAATGAACGCAAAACGAAGATAAAAGAATGCACTTTTATACATTATTGACTATCCTCTACAACATAGTCGTACTAGTTTTAGCCGTATTTGCACCTTAACTTTGACATAAAAGTCTACCATTACGTGGACTAGCTGAGCTCATTCTTTCTGGCGCTAAGAACGTCGACTTTTAATTTCCACTTGATATGTTGGGAGCTTTGAAAGTTATTTATTCAAATTCTGTATGAAAAACTGTATCTGAAAAATATAGTTTCGATGTCATTCAAATATCATATGACCATTGAAAATTTAGATTTTTCGTCGATAGTGGAATACGTCATCGGTGGTTGCCAAAGGCATCGACTCATTTTAAAATAAAAATGAAGCCAATATTTTTGCATGGTTACATTTGCCATAACGGCATGAAAGACGATACGGATCTTTTCTTCCAGATTTTGTTTCTTCCCTGAGATACAATATTTTCTTTGACCATGCACAGAATCGGGCACATGATTTTTTATTTAAAGAGAAGTTTTAACTGAAATTTCTTATTACGGTCTTCATAGAGGTTAAAAGCTATGGAGAATTCATTGGAAACATATATAAGATCGTCAGAGATCTCCTAGAAAACGATGTTGAATGGAAATGGCGAATTTTTTTAAGGACTAAAACACACACATTCTGATTTAGTTCGATGAGCTCTATCAATCCATATATAAATATCAAAAAAAACAGAATACGCTCAAGTTTTGAATTTCTGACACCTTACTACAGCACTCGGCAGCAATAGCACTACCCCTGCCTGTAACTCAAGAACCATGATAGCTAGGAACTTCTAATTTTGTGTGATCATAGCTCTTATCAAATACTGATCACCCACCAAGTTTGAACCTCTTTTACTGACTGCTTCGCGAGATATAAGCGATTTATTTCTTTTCCATAAAATATTAATAGCTCCCGATCTAAGAGAGATGAAAAAATTTTCTTTTTACTAAAATCTAGTCATGACTCTACTCTGCCTGCGATATGAATTTCGTGTGAAGTTGGCTGTAAGCAGTCAGTGAAATACAACTATTTTATGGGCGAAGTTCGCTTGTTTCTTGTTGAAAATTTAAGGTTGTTTCAGAAAACCTCAGCATTTTGACTATTCTCTTTTCCATCAATCATGTTTTTTCAATGTTTACTAATAATTAATAAATTGTTTTTAGTGGGTAATTTAATCAAGATTCCTGATTCAATTCATCTTCTTCGAGATTATATGAATAGGCAAAATTTGTTTTGTGCTTGTCAACCATTTCAAAATAGTCTAACTGTTTATTATTTCAAAAGTGCTCGTTTTGGCGTTGAAGAATCACAAATCAATGATATTGTTAAACATAAATTTCAATCAAAGAAAATACCTTTGTCAATGTCATTATCATCAACAAAATTACTACAAAAATCAGAAGAATTTCAAACAAAAATACGTCAAAGATTAGATTATAATAAAAATATTTGTTTTTCAAGTGAACAAGATCAAATTCTACTATTTGGTTTACCAGAAATTGTTGATGAGTTATCAACTCGATTTCAAACGATTAAAAACGACTATGAACCCAAATTATTTAAAATATCACTAAAACCGTCTGAAGTACGTGTGAAAAAGTTTATTTGTTCCGAGAACTATGTGACGTTAAAAAGTTCTATGTTTTAGATCGATTATTTGTTGGCAATGTGTCGAAATGACTTAAAGAAAATGGAAAAAGACTATCAATCAGATGGTGTCGACATTTTATCTAAACTTGCTAATGGTGAAATTATAGCACCATTGAATGTACGTGAAAAAATTGAATTACCAATATCACAATTAGCTCGAACATCAACAATACAATTTGATATACAGGTAGATATTCAGTTCGCTATAGTAGGCGTGGCACTTTCCCGTTATCATTAATGTAACAGGCAACAGAACTGCGTTACCTATTACAAGTAACAATAACGAAAATCTGTTACCTGTTAACGGTAACGGAAATGGGGTAAACTACTGTTAGCCGTAAATAAGTTGTCGTAAAGAAGGATCCAAGACCCGATATATGCCGCTATATACCGAGTGTCATGTGTTGAGTGCACCACAATCGATATAAAATTGCTCGCTGCGTAGATGTCGCTCGCCACTAGCAGCAGTAGCATCCCTTTATCTGCTGGCTACTTTATATTGGTTGTCGCGTTCTCTGTTTAGGACACCGAGTACATAGCGGCATCTATCGGGCTTCTTGATCATTCACTGAATTCTATCCAATTATTATTTGAGCTATTCCCTAGATCCTGTTACCGGTAACGGCGGGTAACGGATTTCCATTTTTGTTAGGTAACAGGTAAGGGATTTCCGTTACTTTTCAGGATAAAGTAACGAAAAGTAACCGGAACATGCCACCCCCTACAGCAGAAAATGTAAGAAAAATATTTTTTTGGATAGAGAAGAGAACACATGAAATGCTAGATTAGACAGAAAAATGTATTGAATATACTGTGCGCTTATAACCATGATTAGTCAATTAACTGTATCTTTGTTCATAGACATGTAAAAATTAGTGTTAGAGAACAGAAAAAGTGTGATGTTTTGTTAATAGTTTTTCAAACACTGATTAATTGAACGTCTATGTTAAACAAAAATATGTTTTTCAATTTCGCTCTCAACAAACAACAAGTGGATTGAAACTAACAATTTCGTTGTTCAACATATAAAAAAATATAATTTCAAATTTCAGCATCTGACAATGATTTTCAAAAAAAACTGACTGTTTTTCTCGGTCTGTTGATTGTCCGTAAAATCTGAGGTTATTTTTTTTAAGTAAGTTTCATTCTTTCGGCATATTTCAGCGATGGGAGAAGGTACAAAGTTTATCCGGAGATGTTCTTAGCTATGAAAAAGTGATACTGGTGGATAATGGAATATGTCTTTTAGTTTTTTATTCCTTATAGTCTTTTATTGCCTTCCCTTTAGTCGCTTTGAAAGGTACAGTTCGTAGTCGATAACAGTCTGACTATATGTACGTTAGAGTACAAATGTACGCATTTTTCGGTGAGGGAGATGGAGAGCTGGGCGAGAGTGTGCCTATAAAGTATTTCCATTCTAAATTGCGTAGAAAAGTAAAGACAGTAGGAGACTAAAGGGAGTAAAAGAGTAACAGATATAAAAGTACGAAAGTAGGATACGCAATAATAACCTAAAATGAGAGCGTGTAGCTCTGTATGTAAGTTAGAGAGATGTGAAAACAAATTTTTCCCTTGTATGTTTTCTTGTCAAGTTCAGTCTTTCATGCGTTCTCTTTTCCACTTGAAAAACATCACTTTCTCGTAAAAATTAGAAACATAATTAGTAATTCAGTTAGTGCTTCTCCAAAACCTTCAGAGCTTATCGAATCGGGTGGTTCAACGTTGTGACTTAGAAAGTGGGAGGTGTTTGGATAACAGAACACGAAGCCAAAATTGCGGTGTACTTCCTCCAAATCGCGATTTTACTTGATCCACACTAATTTTACTTTCAGATTTTGGTGTCGTGGAACTGACTGCACTATGTTCTCGAAGAAAGGTCCGAGCAAAACAAGATGGAATCAATCCTGTAAAACGAGCTAGGGATTTACGAGATGGGTTGATTATTTAAGATGACCCCCAGGTTTACGAACGAAACAGAACCGTTTGAGGAGTATTTCTTGAGTTAAGGGATACCTCCACAGCAAGAAGTCGACTTTGAATCGAAAAAGTAAACTTTTTAGTGCTTCAACTAGCAGATTAAATAGTGTACTTTCCAAATCTTATAGAAGGTTTTTGAAAAGACATGTAATCTACTTGTGGCAGGTTTTAGCGATCTCTGTGAGCAGTCAGCATTTTTCATCAGTCTCAGTCAGACCGAATCCGGAACCAGTCGGATTCGTTAATTTCTGATGACCGAAAATTGAAGGATGTGCACTTTACCATTAATTAGGTCTTAAAAGCCTGGTTTTGAATTTTGAAACCACAAAAAAGTTATAATTACAAAAGGTTTGTTTTGACTATTGTTCTCTTAATAACTCGGGAGTATTTCATGGCAGAATAAAAAATGCTTTTCAGAGGTTATATCGATACGATAGACGTTTGCTGTAAATATCACCAAAATCGGATGTAAAATAAAATGTCTGTTTTGGTTGCCGGGAAGAACCATTAAGTCATTTCTTGCCTGCCAGAAATACACGAAAAAATCATAGTTTCTTGCCTAAGAAATACAAGTTTTTGTCCAAGGTAATACCAGAAGAAATATAGAAAAAGAGTCTGCTAAAATCTCTTAAATATTTTCTGTATGTTGATTTTTATAAACAAAACTTCTTTCATTCATATGTTGAACGTATTATGGTTTGAATATTGCTAGGAATGTGGATTCGCGTCGTTGATTCAACATGAAAATCATAAACTTCTTAATATAGCCAAAAAATTCCACTGTTACCTTAAAACAGAAATCGATACTCAACAATTACCTGTTACAATTCCTAAAGCTTGTGTTGATGATGAATCGACAAATTCTTATGCATCAACCGCCTCTGCATCGTCTTCCTCGTCGACATCGACTTTAGCTGTAGCTAACGGTTCGATTAATATCTGTATGGGCGATTTAACACAAGAAGTTGTTGACGTTATTGTTGTGTGTATTGAATCGACTAAATTACGTGCTGCTGTCATTAATGTTGCTGGTAATCAAGTAGCACAAGAGTTTACAACTCAATCATCGTCGCCACAAGCCATTGTCACTTCATCTGGAACATTGAATTGTAAAAAAATTCTTTTTTTACATTGGCAACCAGAAAATGATCGAACGCTTTTGAAACAATCGGTTAGTCGATTTGTTTTGGAAGGTATAGCATATGCAACAGCTAATAATTATACAAGTATTTCCTTTCCGGCAATCGGCTGCGGAAATTTTGGTTGTTCGATTGATGATATTTCCCAAATGATGATCGATGCAGCTAAACAACAGCTGGTAAAATTACAAACAAATTTGCAAGTATCCTTTGTAATATTTCCACAACAACAACAAGTGTATGATGAATTTTGTAAATGTATAAATCCAAAACAATCAAGTATTCATGAAGGAGTTACAAGTCATATCAAACGAGCAATGATGAACGTTTTCTCAAAAGATGGCGGTGGAAGCCAACGAGAAAGCACGCCATTGAAAATAATGATGTTTGACAAAGATGGTAAGTTAGTATTCATTTCGATAGCTATTGAGTGCAAAATCGAACGCTGATAGGAGTCACTTTTGTCTAACCTGCTTCAAAGTGTCAAAAAATTTAATCCAAAATTTTAAGTTTTAGTCAAGCGTTCGGACGTGCGAGGAAGCAAATTCTGCGCAGAAATTGAAATTCAAAAACAAACTCTAAAGCGTTTGATTATATGGCGCAAAAAAAAAAACTCGAAATATTTTTTCGGCGGTTTGGTCTGTAGCAGGTCCGACACAGGTGCAGCTTTTATATGTCGGTCTGAATCTGATCCGTTTCGATTTCTGTGAAAAACTTAGATAAAAAGAAGCAAATTCTCGTACATATTTGACAATCGATAACATTTCTCCCATCCTTTTGTTTAGTTGTTAAAATAACATTGACCATATCGGCGAATAACGAGGATAAGCTGCTAATGTGCAAAAATATGATCGAAGTTTTAAGCAAAACATGTTCATCAAAAAGCGATATGAAGGATAAATCTGATATGCGAAAATGGTCACAACAAACGTTAAATAAATATTATAAATATTGTCTGGATAGAAAAGTGTTGCCAACGTTAGATGTTTTTAGTGGAAACATACAATTGAATGGTCCAAAAGAGTTTGTGTCCGATTGCGAAAAATATTTTTATGAAGTAACAACAGATTAATCTTGTTCACAAATTATTTGAAGTTTCATTTTATAATATCATATATCCTCATAATATAAAACCAAGAAGACCACCTGGTCTGCTATTTGGTTCTGCAAGGCGAGTTCTAAAGGTTGGTCTTCTACTGAGGTCAAATTTTGTTCCCCGCTAGTAGTCCAATGGTGACTGCCCACACACTTGAAGTTCATCTCCTATTAAAACAACATTTTGGCGGATCTTTTTTGAAAACTGCACTATTGCCCTAGGGCATTTTATTTGGCGGACATAATAGAAGACCAGTGGTCTTTTATTCTGGGTAGGGAGTTCGAAGAGCATCGTCAGGGACCTGAGTAGGTGCCGGATATTGGAGGGGCGATGGGTGTAACGAAAGTTTTTGATCCGAGATAGTGTAAACTTTATTTTAAATTTCACGCTCGAGGTGGTGTAAACTCTGTTTTTTGGATAGTTACACAGTAATTACCTTGTTACTGTTCTTTTAAACTTTTGGGAGGGTACGCCCGCCCCCCCCCCCCCAATATCAGGTCTCTGAGCATCGTCCTCTGGTTGTGTTTCAAGCCATATAATCGGCACTGGTCTTCTGTTATGAGGAGGTACACGTATATTGCTCGCAATATAAGAATAGTCTCTTACGCTAAGACAACATCAGATTCAAGCTATCTCTCAAGGTGTTATTTGGTCTTTCGAATCAAATAACGGTTGGGAAAAATATTCACTGAAATCCACTGGTGAACTAGAAGATGCCTATCAGTTCAAACAGCAATGGGTTTGCATAAAGCAAAGAAGTTAATATCAATGCGTTACTCTATTCTATTCATAGGTTGATATTATAAACGAAAACATGGAACGTTGTCGTGTCCATTTTGATGGAAATATGAGAGAAGAATGTGGACAACGCGTACGACAAGTTCGTCGAGTGTTAAATAATCAACAATTACCAGACGTAAGTAACAATTATCGTTTTAAATTTCGTTATTTTTGACATAAAAAATATTTAGACGTGGGAACAGTCTGACAGTAAACGAGTATCATTAAAGATAAATAGTAGCGAATATATATCCATTCTTCAACAGTTCAATAATACAATGACAGGAAAATATACGCAAATTATTAAAATTGAAAGAATTCAAAATGAGCGATGGTGGAGACAATATGCAGTAGAACGGGACGAATATAAACGAAAGTTTCCAACATTGAACTACGAAAAAGCCTTGTTTCATGGATGTCCAAATGATTCGGCTAATCTGATTATTGAACAGTGTTTTAACAGATCATTTGCAGGTGCTAATGGTGAGAAGACATGTTTTATACATTACATCTTTTTATTTGCTGACAATCCTTTTATTTTCTTTCAGCTACAGTTTATGGACATGGTGCTTATTTTTCTACACAAGCTAGTTACAGTCACAGTTATGCAAAGCCAAATGCATCTAATGAACATTGCATGTTTATTGCTAAAGTTCTATTTATAAAACCAACAACAGGCAATAGCTCAATGAAAACGCCACCACCAGGTTTTGATGCTACGACAGATGGAGCGCATATATTTGTCATTTATTTGGATGCACAAGCCTATGGTGAATATTTGATTACTTATAAATAATATCGCTGCCTTAGACAATTTTATTTATTTATGGCACAAAATGTTGGTTATGTACTCTATTACTTTTGGATATGACAGAATATATAATACTGACTCAGAAGCACTTTCTTTATCGTGAAAAATTGAAAATTAGCTAAAAAATGCGATTTTTCTCATTTTTCATTGTGAAGATGTTTTCCAAAATTGATCAATTTTGCTAAAAATCATAGGCTCGAGGCTAGGAGATAAAATGTAGCAAATTGAATTTTCTGAATTTTTATCTGCTAAACGCAGCTTTGTATAATAATCAAGTGTACCGCAACCCACCGGTGGATCACATCGTTGCCAATGTGTTAATAAAAAAACGATCATCGCTGCCAAAATAATATCGCCTACCAGTTTCTGCACATGCCTGTGCAAAATAGAGTAAGCATACTTCTCCATTTAATTTATTCTGTTGAAAATAAAAAGCAATCAATATAGTATGCAGGTAAATGGGGAAAAATCTCACTTCAAGTGTGTGCACTTATGACCGAAGTGTCACTTGAAGTGCCGAAGTGACACTCTAAAAGTATGAGTCAATTTTAGAGTCAGAGGTGCAGAATCTACCCGTAAGATCAGGAGATTTCTGCCGACGGCAAAAGGTTATAATAAAATTTTCCTTGTATGAAACAAAAGTAGAAACAAAACAATGCGATTGTTGCTAAAACTACTGTTTCTGTTTAATCATACATGTCTGGTTCTGGTATTTTCGTATAATTCTTCGTTTTTCCAAAACCTTAGAGAATTTCCACCAAAAGATGTTTTTTTCCCCTAGGACCGTCGACGCAAACGCGTAGATTCTGCACCTCTGTTTAGAGCGAACGTAGTATTAGTTTATATTTTGTGCTTTTCTGACTGTTTTTCTGTTCTCTGCCGAAAATCGCTATCCGAACTTTGAGCCTTGCTGTAAGAAAAATTAGACTTTCGTCGGATATACCTACTATCGGCACCAAAATTCAATGCGCTCGGTTGTTTTTCGAATAACTTCAAAACGATAAAAGATCGGGACTTGCGATTTTCAACAATCGAAAGAAGACAGTTTAATCTATAATTTCATAAGCAAAACCTTTTCTGAAACTCTTCGGAAGGAGATTTGGAAAGGTACTTCAGATTTCCGGAAACTGAGATAGCAATCTATCAGTTTTTTTCATAGATAGATCGTCCAAAGTGTTCTCTTCGAAATGCGAACTAAGCGAACTCGCTCTCATTTGGCAGAACTATCTGATCATTTAAAAACTCCTTAAAAGTTCTGGAGTGGGATTAATCCTCTTAGAACTGGGGGTAACGACCTTCCGGCAAGCATTTCATATAAAAGCTCAAAGGCTATTGCATCTACGGACGATTCTAAGGCCGAAATGTTTAATCAATATTTTTCTGAGTGTTTCATTCCCAAGCATGGTCCGTGTCCTTGTCCACTGAATCTTATCAATGATACATTTAGTATTGCTCCACCAAGTAAACAGACTATCTTAGACGCTATCGGTAGTTTAAGAAGTGACATAGCTTCGGAACCTGATAATATACCGGTTACGTTCTTACAAAAATGCGTCCCATTTTTAATCGATCAAATTGAACATCTTTTTTCTCTTTCCATTAAAACTCTTTCCATTAAAACACCCATCCATCCTTATGGAAAATTGCGAATGTGACACCGGTGCATAAGAAAGGGCCCAAAGCGATTGTCGATAACTATAGGCCAATATCGCTTTTGAGTATTCTCAGTAAAGTTCTTGAACGCTTC